CCACTGAGCAGGCCCGTCAAACGTGCGCCTCAACTGCTCCGCGGGCAGAGGCTTGAAGTGCGGGTTGCACACGAGCTCGAGCGTCGAATCGGGGCAGCCCTTCGGCTCGAATGGAGCAGCCGACGTCCATGCTGCGCCTGGCCCTGGAGCCGTTCGAGGACGAGACCTGGGGCGGGGCCTTCGGGTCGACGGCCGAGGACTGCGAGCGGCTGCGGTCGCTGCTGCTCGTCGAGGTCGCCAAGGGCCTGAGCGAGGGCCCGGCGGACGGCGCCGGGAGCCCCGCGGGCGACGACGACGGCGCCCTCTGCGCGTACTGCGGCGGCGAGGGCCGGGGCGTGCCCGTGAACTGGGTCGTCGACGTCGCGGACCACGCGCTCACGTGGTTCCTGGGGACGGCGTTCGAGTACCTCGAGCGCGACCGCCGCGTTCGCGTCGCGATCCCGGACCTCGACCGGCCCGTCTGGAGCGGCCTCGTCGCCCTGGACCGGCGCGCGCTGCGGCTCGTCGAGTGCTGCGACGACGCGTCGCGGGCGCTCTACGGCTGCCTCTGCCGCGCGTCGTCCGTCGACGTCGACTGGCGCGTGCGGGCGCGGCCGGCGGCGCTCGAGGGCGACGCCAAGGAGGCGCCGGGCGAGGCGCCGACGGGCACGGCGACGCGCTACGCGCGCCTCGCCCACGCCGTGCTCCTCGACGGCCGCAAAGTCCGCATCGACGACGCGTTCACGGTTTTGGAATGCGTCGACGGCTTCTCGGACTTCGAGCAGCTCGTCGTCGACGGCGCGCTCCAGTACGCCGGCGGCAAGGACTCGGCGCGCAAGGCCGCGCGGCGCGACAAGAAGAAGGGCCGCCGGAAGCGCGCCAAGGAGCGCGCGGACGAGGCCGCGGCGGAGGCCGAGGCCGCGGCGGCCGAGGCGCCGCGGGACGACGCGCCGCCGCGGCCGCCGGCGCCGCCGACGGACGAGGAGGAGGAGGAGGAGGACGACGACGAGGAGGACGACGACGGCGGGGGCGAGGACGCGCTGCTGCGGGTCCGCTGCGACTGCGCGGCGACGATCGAGCGGACCTGCGAGGCTTTGCGCGCGTCGTTCCTGCGGCGCCTCGCGCGGGAGCGCGAGGCCCACGACCGCGAGTGGGAGCGCACGGAGCGGCTCCTCGTCGACGAGCTCGACGCGCGGCTGCGGTCCGCGACGGCGGCGACGGCGGCGCGGTTCTCCGCCGCGGAGGCGCGCGCGCGGCTCCGGGGCCGGGCCGAGAGCTTCTCCTCGGACGTGCCGCCGCCGCTGCCCCCGTCGGCGGCGCCGTCCGGCGCCGGCGCGGCCGCGAGGGCCGCGGCCGAGGCCGCGGCGACGGCCGAGCAGCTCCGCGACGCGAAGGACGAGCTCGAGCTCATGTACATGACCTACAACCCGACGCTCCACAAGCAGCGCGAGTCCCAGCAGCGGCTCGTCGACGCCCGCGACGCCGCGCTCGCGGCCGCGCGCGACCACCCGGCCGCGGGGCTCGAGGTCAAGGTCATGGGCCAGCTCGACCCGGCCGCGCTCGCGTCCTGCGGCATGGGCGCCGAGGAGATCAGCGTGCTCCAGGAACGATTGCGCCACCCGGAGTTCCACCCGACGAAGGTCGTCGTCGAGGGCGACGTCGCGCGCGAACGCGCGGACCGCGAGCACCCGGAGCTCGTGGCGCTGCGCTTCGAGTACGGCGAGGTCGCCGTCGACGAGGTGCTCCGCTGCTTCCAGGAGCTCGACGAGTGGAACCCGAGCGGCCGCTACTCCGTGTCCGTGCCCTGGGACGTGGACCGCGACGTCGAGCTGCAGCCCGCGGACGTCATCGCGCGCCTCGCGGCGGCGTCGCGGCCCCGCGACGCGCCGCGGCCCCGCGACGCGCGCCGCGCGGCCCTCCCGCGGCGCGCGCCGCACGACGACGACGCCTACGCTTTCGACGACGACGAGTTAGACGACGGCCGCGGCGGCGGCCCGCTCCGCGTGAGCTCGCTCGCCGCGCGCCTCGCGCGCGACGCCGCGCTCGCGCGCGGCGACGACCGCCCGCCCGGCGGCCTCGCGCGCGACTACCGCGGCCGCGGCGACCGCCGGTCCCGCGACCGGCCGCCGTCCGCCGCGTCCGAGGAGC